TACAGATTCAAGATTATATACTACATGATTATGTTTATATGAAGATCAAGACCAGGCTTAACTAATCTGTGGTAATAAAAAAAAATCAACACAGTGTTTGCCTTTGGTGGAGTTGGAGGTCAATTTGAAGAAGTATAAAGAACGTTTCTAGCATAATGGGCCCACTCTCATGTTGTTCCGTGTGATGATTACCAGATGTGATGGCTACTTTTATGTCAACTTGACACAAGCTACAGTCATCTGAGAGAAGGGAACCTCGACTGAGAAAACACCTCCATAAAATCAGACTGTACGCAAGCCTTTGGGGGCGTTTTCTTCATTAGGAATTGAAAGGGGAGGGCCTAGGTCATTGTGGAAGGTGCCATTCCTGAGTTGATGGTTCTCATTTCTGTAAGAAAACAGGCTAAGCAAGTCATGGGGAGCAAACCAGTATGCAGCACTCCTCCAAGGTTCCTGCATCAGCTTCTGCCTCCAGATTCCTGCTGTGCTTAAATTTCTGTCCTGACTTCTTTGGGTGATGAATTGTGACATGGAAGCATAAGCCAAAGAAGCCCTTTCCTCCCCAACTTGTTTTTGATCATGGCATCTTATCAGGTTAGGAGCAGTAACCCTAAGACACTAGAATAAGCCATTCCTCTTTAAAGGCCAATTATTATTGATAATGTAGTTGTTTTGGTGAACAAAAGACTAAGTTCTGATTGACTAATTTAATTGTCATTGCAAAATCTCAATAGTGTCTATTTTCCATAATTTTACCCAGTAAATGTTGCCAAAAGATCCACGTATATACTTTTTTGATAGAAAGTTTGTTTCTTTGGAAAGAGCATTTTAGATATTGCAATAAAATCCTACATGAATTTAGAAATTCACATACTGAGCACAAATAGCCTGACATATGCCACTCTAATTTAGTGAATTTTCAGTAGTTTAGTAAATTTCAACAGGCATTAAAATGATTAAGCTAATAGTTTACAAAACAACATAATTATAAAGTAAAGGTGGTTATTAATCAGAATCTAATTTTGAAAATCAGTCTGGCAATAAATTCTGCTCTATGATTTAATTTTTCTATGAATAACTAATAAAAACACATTGTAAATCAAGGCATATTTACTAAAAAAAAATGACAATGAATACGAACATTGCTTCTAGTCTCATGAAGACCAAGCATGCTCATTACAATAGCTCTTTAGAATTTTCATTGCCAAATAGGTTCTGTGAGTGGGAAATAAAAACACATTCAGAGGAGCAAAAAGGAAAAAAGAACAAGAACTGTCTGCATACTGCTTTCCCCACCGCTGACCCCACGCATGTCTCGCCAGCTGTGCGGTTAGACTCTACCAAAAAGACTGAGAAGTAGCCTGTGGATCTAGCTTTATGATAATACACTATCTCTCTGCAGAATACTCACTCTTAAATATATCTGACTGCAAAGAAAATATACAAAATTTTCTTTTCATGTAAAACAATACAGAGATTATTATAAGGAAATAATGTGAAACTGCACTTTTTATCATAAGACTATAGATCAGTAAATATATTCTGTTAGGGACCCCAAAAGCTAATATCTCAAATTTTTGTGGGCAACATTCAGTGCCCTGCGTTGCCAGCTGAAGACATAAACCGTTGGTAGCTTGAGGTCACATAAACAAGTGGCAGGATAGATTTGTATGTAGATGTGTGTGTGTGTGTGTGTGTGCATGTGTCTAATTGTGATGTGTAGATCTGTGTGTATTGTGTATACATGTATTATGTGTTTGCATGTATGTATGACATGTGTGTATGTGTGTACATGTAAATGTGTATGATAATGTTTAATGTGAGTATGCATGTGTATACATGTGTGCTTATAAATGTGTATGTGTGACTTACATGTTTGTGTTTGTACAAGTGTATGATTACATATGTACATGTTTGTACGTGTGTGTATGTTTACATGTGTGAACATGTTTGTGTGTAAATGTTTTGTGTACAATTGTGTATGTGTGTGTTTTTATGTGTGTAAGCACATATTTGTGTGTGTATGTGTATGTATGCGTGCCTGTCAACTTCTTAGAAATGTAAAGTCCAGTCATTTCTGACTAATTTCATGCATTTTAGTAGGCCACAGTGAAACTTAAAACCTCACAGAGCACAAGTTTTTCCTTCAATTTTCAGAATTTCAGTGGTGAGGAAATTGCAAGCTAAATCTTCCACAGTTTAAACTCAAATATTTTTCTTGGGGAAGAGTATATTTTAAAAAATATTTTTAAAAAAGCTTTAGAGTAGCTCATTCAGGAATCCCATTTCCAAGAAGAACGAGATATATGGAATTTTAGAGCCCTTCATTAAAAATGATTTGGGTCCTCTTCTTGCCCTGAGGAGAAAGTGTCTAGTTCAGGCTCCGTGTTACCTTTCTGCCCTCCGAACCCCTTCCCATTTCTCGGGGTGCCATGCTCTCCCCTTGTCCAGCTTTTGTACACACAGTTCCCTCTGCTAAGCCTGATGTCACCTACTCCCGCCACCCCTTTGCCTTTGCTCACTTCTCTTCACTCCCCAGATCCCAACTTGGATGTCATTTCTTCTGTGTAGTTTCTCCTGATTGTCCGTCACAGTCATGATAGGTGACCCTCCTCTGGCCACCATCAACACCTAGTATTTTAATCAGAAGACTTAACGAACCTTACAGTAAACATAGTGTAATTGTTTTTTTTAATTATTCTTTGGGGGCCTGACATCCAGTGTCAGACTTGTTCCTACTTATGAATAACCAGGCTTAGCTTGGCTTGTTTCTAGCCAGCTTTTCTAACTTAAATTATCCTGTTTCTCTTTAACTATGTTTTCCCTCTGGGATTTTTATCTTTCCTTATTCTATATATCTCTGTTCCTTTCTTACTCCATTGGCTATGTGACTGGGTGGCTCGCCCCTGTGTCCTCCTCTCCTACTTTTCTCACTTGCTCTTCCCTCAAGCCTAGGTTTCTCCTCCGATTTATTCTCTCTGCCTGGCAGCCCAACCTATTTCTCTCTCCTGCCTAGCTATTGACTGTTCAGCTCCTTATTAGACTAATCAGATAACACAGTTTTATAAAGTTAAACAAAATCATAAAAGGGTGAGGCACATCTTTGCATCCGTAAACAAGTATTCCACAGCAGAAACGAATGTAACAAATTTTAAAATAATATTCCTCAACAGTGTAGAGTGATCTGTGTCATTCATTAAATTATGGTTTTATTTTAGCTAGGTTTTATCATGGTGATAAAAATACCATGACCAAAAGCAACTTTGGGAGGAAATGCTTTTGTTTTTTGTTTTTCCTTATAAGTTACAGTCTATCATCAGGGAAAGCCAAGACAGGCCCTCAAAACAGGAACCTGGTGGCAGAAACTGAAGCAGAGGCAATGGAGTGGTGTTACTACTTACTTGCTTGCTCCCATATGGATTATTCAGCTTATTTGATTATATAATTCAACCACCTGCCCTGAGATGTGGGCTGATCCCGCCCCCATCAGTCATTAACCAATAAAATGCCTTACAGACTTGCCCACAATCTTAAGGAGGCATTTTCTCAATGGGTTTTTTAATCTCCCAGAATGACCCCAGTTTGTGTCTAGTTGACAAAAGGAAGTACAAGCCCCTAGATGGTCAAGGTGAATTTGCTTTATGTTGTTTCTTTACAGATAATGGCTCACTCTGTAGCAGATTCCGGCCCTAAATTCACGATCTTCCTCACTCAACCTCCAGAGTGCTAAGATTACAAACACAATTACCTTGTCCAGCCTTTGAGTGAAGCTGTTATGACATTGACCATGAAACTTAGCATACCATATGGAACATACCATGTGCTCCAAAAAGGTTAATGTTGCTTAATCCAGAATAATCCTTTGGTAATAATGAAGTCCACCATAAGATATAATAATGTAGTTCCCCATCAACCAGAGGAGAGGTGTCTGGAATTCTTTTATCTCAAGAAATGCTGGAAGCCAAAGAATTGTAGTGAAAAGGCTAGGTATAACTCATTAGCCTTTTGCATAGTAAGTGATTATTCTCTGACTAAATTTATGACCCTGAACTCATGCTCTAATTAGCTGAAATCGTGTGCATAGAAATGAATACTGTATAAAATTGCATAAAAGGACATAATCATAATTCATAAAGCAAACTCCTGTCTGATCTAGATCATTCAACCTTATATTTTTCTAATCTCAAGATTTAGGGAGAACAAGCCAGCAGCATCAGGAGGCATCGTCGTTGTCGTCATCATCATCATCATCATCATCAGAAGCAGCAGCAACAACAGACATATGCACACCTTCTTCCCTGTATACATGAGGGCATACAAATAGCTTCTCTTTGAGCAAATGTTCAGCTTATTCCAGAGGTTCCCAGACCTCATATATTTTAGTCTCTCAAAGCTGTTCTCAGTAATAACTCTGACCCCTTCAGTGTTGAAGGGAGTTTCGTAGATTAGAAAATTATGACCTTCCATAACAGCTTTCTTGTTTCAGGCTCCATCTGTGCCTAAATTTAGTATCTAATCAGGCTGTCCTCTGTGTTTCCAGATCAGAGATCTGTAGTTGTTACATTTCTACCACCATAAAGATGATGATGCTGGCTGAGTACAGGGTTCCTCATTCTAGGACATCTAGGAGGTTTGGGGACACAAACACAGGGGTCTTGGCTCAGTGGGGAGGGAATGCTTACCCATTGCTTCCTGTCATGTTGTGAGCACAGCAGAATAAACAAGACTCTAAGGAATTTGCAACATACAGCTGAGTACTTTCTAGGGCCATGAGTGTTATGAGGAAATAGAAGACCCTTTAACCTCACATAGCATCTTCATCTCACCAGGACATTCTCACTTGTAGGATTGGGTATTTGCCAGAGTTAGCCTGCCACAAAGGACTAAGAACTTTTAAATAGACAATTCCAGAGGATTTAAAAACCCAAATACAAATCAATGCTTTTGGTTTATGCTGACATTGCAAATGTAAGTGTTCTGCATGTCCTGAGTTATTTTACCTTATGTTGCTCATAATACTGGGAGGCACCAATTCCACCTTGTTCTTCAGCTGTCCAGAGCACCAAGCGGAGTGTTCTCTTTGGACGCAGCCCTGGGAAAATAGTAAAAGGCATTCTTCAGTTTGAATGATTTTCAAATGGTGGAGACCTTGTCTGCACTATGGAGGTGAACAGGAATCAGACGCATCTGTCTCTTGTTGGCATGGACCCTATCTCAGAGTTTGGATGATAACACAAAGTTGCAACTTCAGAGATAACCTCCAGGGCAAGGCAAAAGTAAAATTTGCAGTGTCCAGTATATAGTCAAGTTCAGTGAAGTGTTTATTATACCATATCTAGAAGGCAAAATTAGAAGCCTATGATCTTAAAGCCTTTCCAGAGACTTCAGCAGAACCCAGTTCACTTAGCAGTACTTCAGGATAAGGTGAGCAGGCATTGCCTCTTGATCTGAATCCACCAGCACAGTTTCTCATGCTCTCCCTAAGAATGTAATAACTAAGAAGCTGATGCAACGTCTATGGTTACTCATGGGCATGTACTGGAAAATATAAAGCCATTCCCTCAAGGTCAATGAAAATTAATTGAACGATTAGCCTGCTGTTTCATCACATTACTTCACCAATAGCATGACAGCCCCTACAAGGAGTTGCAATAAACAATGTGTAGAGATAGTCTCTGAGTCACCTTACTATTTTTTAAATGTGATTGTATGAACACAATATATAGATATTTAATAGAAAACCGACTTTGAATTCCAAGGCTTGTTTTTTTCTTGCACTATAGATAAACAGTGTGATCATTTCTCCTGTTACTGGACAGCAGCAGCAAGTCAGGGTTCCTAGTGAGTCACATGATCACAAGGAATAACCATCAATGCTCTCAATATTGTGGTGACCCCAACCATAAAATTATTTTTGTTGTTACTTCATAACTGTAATTTTGCTACTGTTATGAATCGTAATATATTTAAATATCTGTGTTTTCAATGGTTTTAGGTGACCCCTTAGAAAGGGTCATTTGACCCTAAAGGAGTTGGAACCTACAAGTTGAGAACTGTTGATATTTTTCAGCTTATAATGAAGATGCATCCACCATTGTAAGCTGAAGTGCCTTTGCCTCTATTCTGAATATTTTAATTAATGGTAGACCTGTCACTCCTAGCACCTTTTTTCTGGGTTACCAAGTCTGTCCAGTAATCATTAACTGCAGGAAGCTATTTTATCAATTTTAAAAGTATTATAAAACAATCCCTTAAATGAGCCACTTTTCTACGAAGAATTAAAATTTCTCTGTCTTGGACATGATAAGTGTTGGTAAATAGCAAAGGGGAAATGTTAGGGATGATTGCGATGTACTTTGGGTGGTGCTGAGGCCTCCATGGTACCAATGTCAGGTATAACCACATGCCCACTGCTTCCCACAAGCCACAGTCTGGGTAACACATGCTTCTGAGACATCAAGCTCCATCCTGCCCACTCCAGGCACTGACAGACTCTCCTTGCAGAAACCTGGTGGTAAGAGTCCTACAGGAAAGAGCTCCAGTTTGCTTGAAGTGAATATAGCTGTGAAATCATTTCACACTGAAGCATTAGGTGAAAGAACACAGGTCACAGATGCAGGCAGATCTGAGCTCCTGAGAAAGCCAGGACAAACCACCTCCTCAGAGAATCCTAGTGGCTCCTATAAAAGTCTATATAGAACCCAGATCACTACTTCTGCTATGCTCTGGTCCAAAGTTCCAGCCCCATTACCTGGACTGCTGCAGACACCTCTCGTTCATCTTGCTGCTTCACACCCTCCCTCCCTTAGATGATGCTACACATTGTGGCTGGAAGAATCTTTGCAAAAGTGATGCCAGACAATATTATGTCTCTGATCATAATCGCAAATACTACAAGCGTCTGAAAGTCAATGATTTAGAGATTATTTATTTATTTATTTATTTATTTATTTATTTATTTATAATTACAAGCATGGTGGGGCCAAGACAGTAGAGATCAGAGGACAACCCATTGGTTCTCTTTACTATTTGGGTCCTGAGGCACTAACTCAGGTGTCAGGCTTGGCAGAAGTGTCTTTACGCAGAGAACCATATTCACTGGCCATGATATCTCATGTGTTTGGATGTTTTGCTTTCACTTTATTTATGGTACCACGTGTGTGCCTGGTACACATGGAGGTCAGAAGAGGGTATCAGGTCACGTGAAGCTGGAGTTAAAAGATGACTGTGAACCATCTTGTAGGTGCTGGGAATTGAACTCCAGACCCGACCCCTGGAAGAACAACCAATGATCTTAACTGCTGAACTGTCTCTCCAGCTTGATTTATACTTTTTAATTTATTGCTATGTTTCCAGTTCTCAAACTTTAGCACCCAGTAGGTACACACAGAACTAGTGAGTGAATGAGTAAATGAATGCAAGGCTTGATGTGTTGAGTAGGATAAAATTCAAAGCTACTTTCCCAGTTACATGTCCTCCTAAAATGTTTCTTCTAGCTCATTTCCAGGAAAGATTTTATTTATGAAAAAAGGCAGATATATCTAGTAAAGCCTGCCATTGCTGGGTGATAGCCATATAACTACTGAGTAGTTGGTCTGCCTGAACCCCAGCCTTCTTGTTTGACAGGAAGAGATCATATTACAGACCTGTGCCATAATTCTTCCTCTAGATAACTGGAGTGACATATGAGGAAAACTCTCTAGCAGACATGTAATTGACATTAATAAAAAGCTACATGATAGATGTCCAGAACAGAGCACACTTTCACACACACCCAGAGGAGAATGGTCACTTCCATACTCAGAGAGGAAAGTATACCAAGGTCTTTAAGCACTTGGCAAAGAAGAGGCAGAGAACCTAATATTTGTTCCATAATCAATTACCTATTACAGTCATCACATAAACCTAACAAACTTCTCAAAGAAAGTAATATAGTCATGATTGCTAAAAAAAATCTTTATTTTCTTATAATAAATATATTTGGTGGAGGTAGAGAGACGGCTAAATGGTTAAGAGCACTTGTTGATCTTGTTGAAGACTTTTCATTTGGTTCACAATGAACTAGAACTCCAATTCCAAGGTATTTGAAGTCCTTTTCTGCTTCCATAAGTATCAGAGAAATACACGGTGTATATACACATGAAGACATTCACAAATACACACAAAATAATAGTAAATAAATCTTAAAGGAAAAGAAATCCTTGATTTTTATCTGCACGCAACAGAAAGTGAACTGAATTAGGTGTAGCTTGAGTATAAAGAACTCAAAACCCACCCCCGTGGTGACACACTTCCTTGAACAAGGTCACAACCCCTAATAGTGACACTCCCTATGAGTTTATCGGAGCCAACCACATTTGAACCACCGCAGATGCAGTTGAAGATTATATGAGTCCAATAACATTTTTCTTGTAATGGAGGAAAGAGTGATATGCACTAGTATAGCTTACTAAAAATTCCAGTTTTCCACACATGGCTGTAATGCATTCTGATTCCCCCCACCTTCTCTTATTTCCTTATGACTCTGGTCACCCTCACACATCTTTTCCCTACAAATTTCCTCCCCACATTTTTGTTGTTTTCTGACCAACTGTTTAAACCAGCTCCACTGGAGCCTGGTAGACTCACCAGTGGTTTCAAAACGGAGGACAATGACTTCTTCTCTCCCAGACTCTGTCAGCAACCAATAGTACAATAATGAGTAAAGCAGAGGACACTGAGAACTCCTTGCCACCCAAGACTAGCTGATGACACCGCCAGTCTTGTGAAGACCCAGTGCAAGCCATTGCAGCAGCTGTAATTTCATGATTTCAAGGACTATGGCCTGTCTAGAGGATGGCAATTCACAATTTTTCTTCCTTTCCTCAGATCTTATATTCTTTCTACCTCTATAACATATTGTTGAGCCTTACAGAGACCAAAGAACTTCTTTACATTTCTCTGCACCTACTAGCAACATGGTACCCTAAATTATTACGATGAACTCCTTAAATAAGGATAAACAGACAGTACAGGACACAAAAATTTCATGTCTTTCAACATAGATGCTCAGAATAGCCCTGTAATTGAGTACACCATTTAAAAGTTATTATCACATAGGATTAGTCAAATTGATCAGAGGGCCAATGATGTCATCATATTAAGGTAGTATGGAAGTAATCCATTTGAAGAAATAGATGTGAAGGTCTCCAAAGGACATAAGCATAGCTGGCCTTAAAAAAAATATGAACAGAGCCTCTTTGAGTCCATGAGATACCCAACAGTCATTAGGAACATCAGCACCTACTTCAGAGTGGAGGGCTCCCAGAAGGACAGGAATCCAGGGATTGAGAGACATCTAAGTGACTCAGAAGTCTCCTTTCACTCTCACAGTCTGATGGAGACCAAACTGAGAGAAAAGAATGAAATTTCATCCAATGACTTGTCCCTTTATGTAATGTGGCATTTTGGTTCTTAAATCCCTTAAATCCACAAGGAACTGTCCACCTGGAGTCTGAAGGATCTGTATCTCATTCCTGCTATAACATGTCATTTTCTGTGAGGTTAGGCAACTTATCTAACATCTCTGAGCCTCAGAAGTTTCTTCAATATAATAAGAAAAATGATAATCATCTCACGGGATTGTTAAGAAAATTAATAGGATAAGACATAAATAATATTACCTAACACATGTATCTGTCATAATGTTGCACAGTGCATGTATCATATTTAATGTTACATAGTACATATATCATCCTAGCACATGTATCAGTCATAGTTAATATTACATAGCACATGTATCAATCATAGTTAATGTTACATAGCACATGTATCAATCATAGTTAATGTTAAATAACACATGCATCAGTTATAGTCACAAAGGGTTCAGGGATTGCTTCTTAACTCTTCTCTGCCTAATTCTAGATGTCTTTGCACCTGGTGACAAAAGTCTCCACAAATGGAGAACCAGAACAAAACCTCTTGCTATGCCTTTTCCTCAGCAGCCTTAGGACACGTCTGACGTAGAGAATCCTCAGTCAAGGAAAACTCAGATTTCATTTAACCTGTAGAAAACACAGCCTCTTTTAGTGTGAGATGCATGCATACATCTGC